TTTTTTTTTTTTTTTTTTTTTTTTTTTTTTTTTTTTTTATGGAAACATCTTAGTTGTTCTCATGAACAGGATTTTTTTTTTTTTTTCGAGTCTTGACACCTCAAAGCGTTTTGCCCTTTCGTGAAACAGCGCGTTTCTGTTTTGCATTCAAAAGCAAACATTTTGAAATGGGTCAAAAGGCTTTGGCTAACCCTGCGAGAGTTGAAAACATGACTCTCATCTCGGAGAATCCTCCTAAATCCTTGGGAAATCAGTGAGGCTCCACAAAACGCACCAACTCCTGTACGTCAGTAGCCAAGCGATTAAAAACTTTTCCCCATAGTTAAGTCTCCCCTGATGCACTTTTAGCCCGTGACTACTCTCGTCCTCAGCAGGTATAAATGACAGATAAATCAACTTGGCATCTACCTTTTATCTGCAGAAATGATTGCCTTATCTCTTTCCAGTCTTCTCTTCCTTAAGCAGGCATCCTTCAGCGGTTGTATTTCGCAGCCTTCTGATCCTGCATGGTGATTGGAGCCAGACACTTGGCAGCTGGTAGGTACCTAGAGTATGAGTGGGGATGCCCCAAGCAGAACAACATCCTCCAGCCAAAGCTGTGACAGCAGTGAAACAAAGGACAGGACACAAATAACCAAATCAGTTCCACTGGGGACAAAACCGGGGTACATGCAGCCTGCAAAATTCCACCCTCCACTCCTCTCTCCTCAAAACCACTTACAGGGATGAACCCCGTGGTGCCTCCAACTGAATGCTACGGTGGATTTAGGGGAACGGATTAAAATCCCGCACCTAGCAACAGATATAACCGATATAGCTGCAATATTGCTGTCTGCAAGCCACTGCTCACGTGGCCGATATTTAAGTCAAAGCTGAACAAACTGCTGCAAGCGGCACCCCCATGTTAACACAGACAGAAGCGGTAGAATCACATCGGCAAGTAATTTAGACCATAAAAACAAAACAAAACAAAACACAAACCAAACAAAACAAAGGGAATCCCACAGCGTGTAACAGTATGTACCGTAGAAAATTGAATAATGCCGGTAAACAATGTTAAAATAATTACAGTAATTAGAAGTGTTACACATGCGGGAAAAATTGTTTGGAAAGTAATTAAGACCTCATGCGAAAAGGTTGTCTCATCTTCCTGGAAGTTCAAGAAAGCATATAAAACTCAGAGGATTCAGGGCTCCTCCGGCCATTTCTCTTGACTTCTTCCAGGACAGCTGGTAAGTCCCGTTCACCTCAGTATAATTATATTGAGGAAAACGTTGCTTTAAAATCAACTGGGGTTTAACAGCAAGATACTCTGCAGCTTCTAAAAATATTAATGGGGTTCTTTCTTGATGAGTCTGCTAAAAATTATTTAGTTGTGTCCTTGGAGCTTGTTCAGCCTTAAAAATGTATCTGTGGGCATTGGTATCGTTATAAAAAAAAAAAAAAAAAGTGCAATTTTTTATTTATCAATTAACTGTATATAGCTACATGGTATCCAACATAAAAGGCATTTTAAGCTCTAGATAATATTATCAAAGAATCATAGAGTGGTTTGGGTTAGAAGGAATCTTTAAAGCTCATCAAGTCCAACCACCCTGCAGTGAGCAGGGACATCAACTAGATCAGGTTGCTCAGTAATATTCGTATTTGTTTTCATGAAAACATTGGAGAAGATCGGAGACGTTCAGATTTGTTTTCCAAAAGTTTTTCCTTCACAAATCGGCAAGATTTCATTTCCAAAGGGATAAAAAGGGACCAAAATCTTCTCCTTCCTTTCCTGCCAGAATGATCGTCTTTGCATCCAACACACAGCTAGAACAAAAAGTTCATTTCACTAAGAAGTGATGGCTGCCCAGTTTTCGGTGGGTCATTCATGCAGGAGCCTCTGTCTTTGGGTTAAGACACCTTTCTCTCAGCACTGTTAGGAAGAAGAGACTCTGCAGGGACAATCGTTTTCATATTCAGTGGCTTCAGGGTTTTTCTGACGAGAGCATCTGATGCTGAGTATTAACAGACGTAAAAAGCTCAACAAAATAACTGTAACACCTTTACATCACAACTGGTGCACAGAAACAGGCATTTCACATGACTTATTTAAACACCTACCTCTGAATGAGCTTGACTGCACTCTGAAAGTACCAAGTTTTTCCTTAGGGACATTAAAAAAAAAAAAAAAAAAAAAAAAAA